CCCCCCCCCCCCCAGTTTGTAAATTACATATCTTCAGATTGGGTAGTCCAACCCGCTTACTTTCTAGATGAGGAAACAGAGCCCAAAATAGGGTTAGGGTTAGTGACTTTTTTTGGTGGTGGTAGTCAGATAGTGGCAGAGCTAAAAGCAACATCAAGTGTTTTACTTCTAGTTTGGTGCTTTTTTCATTATACCATGCTATTTTTAAGGTTTACCCTCCTCCTTCTTCCACCATTGCTTTTTCCCACTACGCCTTGCCACAACCAGATGTTTCATGTAAACTTATAAATTTACCAGCCTGACATCAGAATTTGAGAGGCTACAGGGTTGTACAGGAGCCCAGGGGATGTCACAGGTATTAGATTGTTTCTAATGCATAGGTAACTAAACTAGTTTCTCTATATGGCAGTTATGTTCATGTCCTTTTCATTTGTTTAAAAAAAGCCTTTTGTTTTATAGGTTCATGGGTGTATGTGTACATCAAGGACAATTGCATGCACTTACAGAGGTAAGATAGACTTCAATAAATGTGTTGAAGGTGACTTCTTTGCCTTAGTTTCAGCAATTTATGGTTCCATAGTGATTGTTACTTGCATATGTAAGGAAAATGTGTGTGCATTTATGTTCATACAAAAATGGCAGGGTTAACAGTGCTTTCTTTTGCTCCCTGGGGACAATGGCCATATCTCTTAATACTCTTGGATTCCCTCAAAATACTTGGTAAATACTCTGATGATATGAGTGCTCAAATATTAAATTGGTTCTTGCTGCCTGGATGACCCTTTCCTAAGCTAAGGATGGCATCACTTGGCTGCAGACTCTATCATTGCAACAGATTCCCAGACTACCCAGAAATGTTTGTTGTCCTGATCTAGAATACCAGTGTCACTGCTGTAGTTTCCTGATTGCTCTTATTACTCCTTGGAATCAGTTTACATATCCATTCTCATTTCATTTTCTGCCTCCTGTAGACAGATAAATACATGGTAGTCATTACTGAGCCTCTGAGGACGAGAGAATCCTCTCTAGAACAAAGGCTTCCCAAATTCAGGTACTGAGTTATCAGCTTCAGAATTTGTTTGGGTGCTTCTTAGAAACAGATGCCTAGAATCTTCCAGGTTTAGTAGGTCTATATAGGGCCCATTTTTATTAGAAGCTCCCCAGATTATTCTAATGAGCACTTAGATTTTAGAATCTGTTCTAGAATGTTTTCACATTCCTTCTTGAGTAGTAAGTAACAAAATACAAAGTGAAGAACCTTAGGAAGGAAAATTATTTAACAGAATTTGCAAGAGTATTGTTTTTCTGCTGGCTTGGTGCCTGGTATTAGTCCTTAATATCTTATGAAGGAGGGTCCCATGTGTCTCTCTCTGTGTCTCTTTTCTCAGTTACTGAGGCACCAGAATATAGAATGTGTGTAGCTATTTGTTGCCTTGTATATGGAAGGCCAAATAAAGTGGGCTCTGAAGTCATGATTGTCTAGGTTTGAATCTCTCTGTGCCTCAATGTTTTCTTCTGTAAAATGGAAATAATAATAATAGTACCTGTCCCAGGGCATCTAGAGAAGAGGGTCAGAAGCTAAGCCCTAGAGTATTTCAATTTTAAAAGTCTGGGAGAAGGGCAGATTAAGGAGTGGCTAAGTGAGGTAGGAAGAAAACCAGGAAAGAAAACATGGAATGGGAAGGAAGCAGTTCCAAGGAAAAGGGAATAATTAATTGTGGCAAATTCTGCTGCCGATGAGATGATGACCACCTCACAGGGTGGTTGTGAGGATGAAATGTAAAATGCTTATTTAGCACAGTGCCTGGCATATAGTAATTGTTAAATACATTTTTACTATTATAGCTTTTATTACCAACAGTGACTAGTCCCTCTTGAACTCCTTATAATGTATTTTTCATTTGGTACTTAGTTCTATGCTGTTGTTAATGTCATTAAATTTTTAAAAAATCTTTTATTGAAGTAACAGAAAAAGCACATATATGAAAAGTGTACAGCTTACTAAATTTTTATAAATGAACATAACTACAACCAGAATTCCAGATCAAGAAACATTTTCTGTGTATTTCTTTTCTCAGAAGTGAGTCTATAAATTCTTCAAAGACAACTCTCTTCTTCTCTCAAGCCTTCTATCCACCAGACCTCTGACACTAATAATTGTAGAAGTATTTGTTACTTCCTTCTTGTAGCATTGTTCTCTGAAACGTGAGTTCATTAGAAGGGATTGTATATTGGTTTTGCTGACAAAGAAGAACATGCTTTAATATTTGTGATCATGTCCCAAATTTAGAAGTGGGCTGTAATGGAAATGGCAGAAAGGAATGATCTTAATGCAACATTCCCTTGGCCATGTTGCACTTAAGTAATGTTTTCTATTGCTTTTTAGCTTGTTTATAGCCATATATAACATACAATGGGTGTTTTGTGAAAGAGTGTGTATTTTTAGTATCATTAATGAGATATTGACGTAGCTTATGATATGAATACTTTTTATTATGATGTTAATAGGCTGATGGTCATGAAGTCCAAATATCTAAATGGTGTTGGGTATTTTCTGAAGGAGATCAGTAAAGGCTTTCATGGCATAGGTCTCTTGGGACCCTTACATTTAATTGCCTTATAATTTTGGCTTGGCAGTATAGCTATTGGTTTCACTAAGGATCATAAAATAAATTGCTAATGACATCTAGCACAGCATTTGGAACTTGGATGGCATTTAATAAATATTTCTTGATTGCCGCTGTGTCTACTCTCCACAGCAATGCGAGCACCATTCCAATTTTTCTTAAAATGGTTTGTTAATAATTACAGTAGACAAACATAGCTTTTGTTAATGTCTGTAAAGTAGTGATATTATTAGGAAGAATATTTCCCATATCCAGTAGTGATCTGGACTCTTCTGGGCTTGAATAATTTCTATGAGTCTTTTTTTTTTTTTTTTTTTT